AGGGGGGGGGGGGGGTGGGGGGGGGGGGGGGGGGGGGGGGGGGGGGGGGGGGGTCGTGAAATAACAAGACGCGAGGCTTTCAATGGATTTTTTCTTATTTTTTTTTTGTATCTTTTTTTCACTTCATTTCACCAGTATCTTTAGGATAGTGGCATTAAAAAATGTTTATTAATATAATATGTATACTTTCCTTAAAATCATCCGTACTCGTATTCTCATAGCGTAATAATCATAATAATATATAATCATTATAATAATAATATATATATCTATATTTATTTATATATATATATATTATGTTTATGTATTTCGCATATAGAGAATAGTCAATTACATAGTAGGTTTGCGTAGGTTTTTTTTTTGTTGTATTCATTATTACCATTATTATTATTATTATTTTTTTTTGTTCATTTAATCTTTAATTGTAAAGGTATTCCATTACTAAACATATAAAAGCGGTATAAAGCTCGATCCTCACACGCTAAATTGTATTCTCCTCCACACTTTTCTCTGTTTCTTTTTTCATCATTTTATTCCGCGAGTTCTCGTATTCTTCTTTTGTCCGTTCTCTCTCACCCAATAATAATAATAATTATTGAATAAATCGTCTTACCACCGAGGTTAGTTCTCCTTTCTCTCGTCATTCGCACTCTCTCTCTTTCTCTCTCTCCCTCTCGCTCATCGTAAACTCATCCTTCTTCTCTATACATAATCGCGTCTCTCACGCGAATCCGTTTCCGTTTGTCATTTTCATAATCATCATCCGTACGCACACCCATCGATCCTCGCACGCGAAACACTGTCATCTCGCTGCCATTCGCGCCAGTCCCTAGCACTCACTCTCTCTCTCTCTCTTCTTCTCTCACTCACTCTCTTTCTCACGTCACTCTCGCCACGTAAACCTAGGCGCGTAGTAAACCGTAATGCAATTTTAATGCTTAATAAGTGTGTACAGTGTACTTCGTCGTCGACGTCCCTTTCGTCAAGCCCCGTCGTCGACCATTGTCGCTGCGTCGCCGTGCCCACCGAGAAACGGAAACAACCGAACGATCGACCCTTCGAGCAGGCTCGAAGGGTGGAAAATAGTCGAAGAGGAAAAGCAGAAGACCGCGGGCGGGGCTGGCCGGAGCCGGGGGGCGAGGGGGACGCGGCCGAAAGGGACGCGTGAGCCCGAAAAAACTGCCAGGACCATATTAACCGTGTCCTCCGCTCTGTCTAAGAGCATCGATTAATTAACGCGAACTCGCATCCAGCGCGACGATGCCGACGGCCACGGAGAGCGTGCTCTTCTCTCTCCCTCTCTCTCTTTCTCTCTCTCCCTTCTGCCAGCTCTCCTTCTTTCCCCCGTGACCTTGACCCTCTGACTGTCCCTGAAAATCCGGGTCAACGGCCACGAGAGAGCCCGACCGTCGCCAACGACGTCTCCGTCGAGTGAAATATTAAAAGACTAAAAAAGACGAGTCGTTTCTTCGAGACTTCTCGCCCCGATCCCACCTTCCCCCACCAATAGGCCTCTGTTTCTCTCTATTTTTCTCACACTCTCTCTCTTTCTCTCTATTTTAATTCCTCTCTTTGTACGCCACTTGCAAGCACACCCCCGTTCGCAATTTCTCCTACTCAGGAAGAACTCGTTCTCCTATTCTCGAAGAAACGACCGCAACACGTGTTTAAGCACTAGCTTTCGATCGACACAGCTTATCGATAATATACTCTTTTTTTCTTTTCTTCAACCGTAAATCATCCCTCTTCGTTACTTTCCGCTCCTTCGTGCGTCTATCTTCCCCTCGAAGTCGCTGGCGGGCACACCGGGGCGCGCGGCGTGTTCTCTCATTCTCTCGCTCTCTCTCTCTCTCTCTCTCCGTTCTCTCGCTATTTTTTCTCCTCTCCTCCCTTTTGCTTGCTCGCGGATCCACGCCGCGTGATCTCGATCCTCCTCGAAGGATTCAGTCCCACCCAGTTTCTGTCGCTTCTCTCCAGAGAGCCTCGCGGCCGGCCCCGCGCGCGCGTGACGAGTCCGACGCCCAGCGTCGGGAACACGTCGCCGCGACGAGCCGATCGCAGGCGAGGGCCCGACGAGAATTTACTTAGCCCCAACCGCCAACCGTCGAAAACACGATCCGCCCCGCCCCAACCCCTCCCCCTACCCCGTTTTGTACGCATTCGATATAACGTTTCGACAAACCCGCTTCTTGTCCCGCCAGGTTCGCAGACAACAGCGACGCGTTCCGCTCGACGATCGACGATCTTACAGCCTCTGATCCGGTGATCCGATCTCGCCGAGATCCGGATCGGATTAACGGGGGGATCGCACGGTGCTGATGGGGTTCCGGGTTTGTTTGCTAAAGGAATCTCTCGATGTATCCTTCGCCGGCTCAGCGTTCGCCGCGCGGCGCTCTTACGGAAGAGACGCTCTTTCGGAAATCGAATTACGCCGCACCGAAACGTTTTCGCGAATTTGGTGCGCAGACGTTTTTTTTTTCAAATTTTTCTCTCGTAAGATCATTCCGTGATCACAAGCGTCTGGAGCGGATAGAAATTTGTTGGAAGCTCGTCGCGCTTTCTCGAACAGAAAAGAATGTTTTTTCAACGCGATTAATAAGAATTTTCTAAACCGTGATCACGCTTGCTATAATTAAAAGAAAAATACGAAGATGATAATATGTCTCCTCTGGATCGAGAAGAGATTTTTCGAAAACAGATTACGCGTCTCCGGGTCCGAAGAAAAATACTGGAAGCTAATCGAATCGAGAAAGAAAAAAGAACAAACTGAACAAAATAATCGTCGCAGAATCGATTGTTCCGATCGCTGTCGAAAACGTGATCAATTTATACAAGCCTTGTTGTACAGCTCGAATCTTTATTGCTAGCAATTTATTATGAGGGCCACGCCCATGGATACAATATACAGTAGAATAAATAATAGGGGATACATAAATTAAAAGAGACTGTGTTCTAAAGATTAAGATATATCTTACAACTTTAAAACGGCGATCGTAGATTTTTCACTGGATCGAGCCGCGTTCGCGGCCAAAGATCCGCACGGATAAGAGATATCGGCCGGTTGATTGTTGTGAAAGAAACGATTCGAGGATCGTCGAGGCGGATCACCGTCGATCGCATGAGACAGATCGAGCGAACCGGATAGATCGCCGCCGGATGTTGATGTCGCCCGCCAGCTAAAGGTACAGCGTAGTATCTAATAACACCCGAGTTAGACTCTCGCCCTCAAGCCAACCAAACAAGTATAGTTCGCATACAATTATTACAAATACGAACTCTTAAATATCAACTCTTATACTCTAACGATAGAATGATAATTAATAGGGTGTGTGTTGTCTCTGGTGAGAGACGACCGGGATGTAAACCGAGGTATACCCGGCCTCACTTCACCGGGTACACGTCGTGCGTGCGAGCACGAATTATATTTTTCTTCCTAATAATTATAATATACTCTTGTGTTAGCTTTTCCTTATTTCTTTTTCTTTTTCCTTCCTTTGTATCGTGATTAGGTGTTGTCCTCACCGCGGTCTACACAATTGGCGACGGAGGCCACGCGGGATATTCGCCTGTCGGTCGCAAGAGTTTGCACCGCGCCAAGCAGTTCGAAGCGGATCGAATATGCGATTCGTTGCATCGCGGAACGATGCGCGCGATCGGATTCAAACGGGCCACGGAAAAAATGCTTCTCTACGCAACGTTTGTTAAAAACAAAAGACGCTCGCGTATTATCGTCATCTTGCCGAAGTTGTTCAGATGCGAAAATCAACTTCCACTTGACTCCTGCGGAATCGGTGCAGAATACATTTGCATCGAGGATACGACCGGTCCGAATTGATAAGCGAATAATCGACGTCGATATAAATATGCAAGATCAATTATCGAGGTTCGCTTAGAACGCGTGTAGACTCTTACGACCGACAGCATGTCGTGCAATTGCTAGCAGAGACGGGTGGTAAACTGAATCAACTCCCGGACGAGATTGAACAAAAATCACTCTGCTCTCTGTCTCCCTCTCCCTCTCTCTTTCTCTGTAAGGACAAAGAGAGGACCGTAATTGGTAGAATAAAACGACATCACCGATTCACCGTTAATTATTCGTTACGTCAAGACCTCTTCAAAGAAACCACTGAATGATTGATCCGGCTTCAAAACGAGACCCGAAACCCGTCTCTGTCCTCGGATATCGGCGAACGTCGATCATAGTTAGAGATCGACGAGCGTGTGGCTGAAAATGAATATGTAATCGGCGAGCACCGAACCGGAAGTGCTCGTCACGCGTCTCCAAGGAAATTTCCCTGAAACGGAGGGGGTGTTCTGCTACGCCGTATTCGCTGCTCGGAGTACTCTAACACCTACTATGTTATCGATTAGAATTAGATAGTTCCGGCGAGACGAAACGTCTGTGCTTCTCTTATATGCTTACTGTTTCTACCTAGCGTTACCTGAATATAGGACCCGAAAGCGGAGTTCCTCTGTCTGAGCCTGAACAGTGCGATCTTGAATCGTGGCGGCAGAAATCAACGCGCTGTCGAACCATTCCCGATGATGCCGAGCTCATCGAAACCAGGCTTGGACACGTCGTCGATTCGTTCGATCGAATTATAATCTCCGATTTCGATCGTTCTCGAACGTTTCGCTAGACTGGCATCGACGTTGCAACAAAGCAGACTGCAGATTTTCGTGCGAATATGAGATGTGAGCTAGCTTTGTTTTTACAAGATTGTGGAACAAGTATCGTTTTAGCCTGTCGCAGGCTTTATCGCATTCGAACGAAGGTTAAAGTTTTATCGCAGTTTTGGAAATATTTTTGTATTCAAAGTTTTTACAAATGTTCCAAAGAAACGCTTGTTCGAAGAATGAAATTATCGATACCAAAATTAATGCACATTTACTTCGGAATAAAATCGAATTGATGAATTGTTAATTTTCGTTTATTTAAACATATTGTTCGAACGACGCGCAAGCCTGGCCGTAAGCTCGCCTGTGCGAAAGCTCTCTGATCCATTTCCTCCGTAAAACGGTTAATCGAAAATACCTGAATTCCCTAATCGAAAGCTCAGTCGACTTTTTTTTTAGACAGAATATCGAACTGGGTTGTGCCGAGGTCGATCCTCGAATTGACGCCACCCACACGCCGCGGCAGAGAAACGAAATTTCCATCGGAGAAACTGTCGAATTTGATCTTTGATTCGCGGGAAAACAATTGAAAAACTGCTCGGCCGAGGACGATGTACGCTAACCACCGCCATCTACCACCGAAACGCTTCCTTCTTTTCCTTTTTTTTTGCAGATCACTTTTGAGTAGATTTTTATCAAAAATATATTCTCTATATATGTGTATACGTGTAATCTCCTGCGGCAGGACGTCGGTCTTCCCCGGCGATCGAGTAAAAAAGTCTACGAATATGCGAACCCTCAAGGAAGTCTTGACCGGATCGGATATGGAGTCGCCAGGTAAACCTAATCCCGCCGTCGTTCGTCGATTTTTTCTTTTTTTTGTCCGTCCGATGACCGTCCACGGCCGAGCAACGATAGATCTTCGCGAAAATAATCGGAACTTTTCGTGTTTTCTTCGTGTTTTGCATCGAAAGCGAAACGAGAAATGATCGATTTTGGATGGTCGACGTGGGTGGGATCGCCCCAAGGGATCTTCCCCCGCGTGGCACGGTGTTCCTAGGATTATTTAGAGATCATCTACGAAAGATCAGTCTGAAGTCACCTGTAAATGCGTCGAAATTCACGGAGATAGAAATACACGCGGCTAAAAACGTCTCGGGAAATTCGAAGGCTGGAACAATTATGTTTCTCGAGTCTTATTTCGGCAGTTCTGCTGCTCGCCGACACCTCGGGAACCGTCTCTCGACCGAATCTCGGCTTCCTTTTACTTCACCGAGCCCCCTCGGAAACCAAGATCGAGGCCTATTCGATTGTTCATTCGCGTGAGTCCGAAAAACCGCGGCTTCGAAGACGGAGAACCAGCAAGAGCATGCTTCGAAATATCGGATCTACTTGCTGCGCCGACGAAGATCACAAATCGATGGAACTTCTCAAGATTTCCGGACCTCGAGCAAGCTATCCAAGCTGCATGATCGCGAAACCCAAGACGAACTTCTTCGAGAATTCGATCGAAGGACGGCCGAGCTGTCGGCGCGATTATTTTACAATATCTTTTTAATTCGCTGGCGGAAGTACGACCGAGCATGTCGCACGGGATCATTCGAAAATGTCGGGTCAAGGGAATTATATGCTCGTTATTAGTTGAGTGTAGAGTGATCGGTGATTCACGATCGGTTCGATTGGACATGTGTGAGTGAGCTACTCTGTGTGCCGAGTGTCGTGTACGTGGACCTTTGCATTGTTTCTTGCGTGTTTCTTTTTTCGTTTTTTTTTTCACTTTTCCGTTCTATTATATATATTGCTTCGGGCTGTCCGGCAACAAATTTCGGCTCCCCGGTTCGCTGTGTTCGAAGGGATCGCGCGCTAAACGTTCTTGATTCGCGTTTTATTCTGAACCTAAGTTCGTATACTTTCACACGAATTTAGGGAAGCAGTGAAATCTGCAGTTAATTTTGCAATTAATCCTCGAAATAACAGCGCAATATCGATCGATCGTCTTAAAAAAGAAAATCACAATTTCGTGTAGTTATTTACCGATTCGCGAAAGAGCCGATTTTGAAAAAACGTGGCGACGACAAAAAATTAGTACAGAATGCAACGGAAATTCGACGTTGTTTCGCGCGCGCGCGATGCGGGAAAACCGAAATGAATTGCGGACAGCCGAATATAATTATAATACGATTGCCAGGAATCTGAGCCAGACTCCTCCACTCTGCTTAATCGCTATTTCCTCTGTTACGCGGCAACCTTAGTAATCGAGACTAACTAGCTACTCCATAGAATGTATATTAATGAGGACGAAAGGGGACACCTAGAAGATTAAAATCGGCGATTGACTTGATAAATTGGGATAGGCTGCATGCAATAAAACACGCGCGCAGCGGCGCACACACGCACACACCGAGAACTTCTATCTACGATTATTGGATTCCACCTTTCGAAAAAAGCTTAAGGGTTCCATTTCTCACGTTTTCCTTTCTCATTCCTACAGGGACGACGACGACCACGGAAAGAATCTTGGCGCTAAGTCCTGTCGTTAATTCCCTTTGATACGCGGTAATTGTGCCATCGCACTTAAGACCGGCTCAGCAGGATTTCGAGGGGCTCTACTCGCCGAACGGGGGGCCGCCCATTCCCTTTTCCTTTCTTTTCTGTCGGCCGAAGGGAAGAGGGCGGGTCGAGTTTGTTTAGAACGCCGATGGGCCCGGTCGCTACCCGCGGAAACCCGAAAACCGCCCCCGTCTTCTATCTCTCGAAAGAACTCGATCGTTTCGTCGATCCACGATTAAAACGGGATATCTTCACGGTCCAACGGGGCATTCTCTTTGACAGATTTTTCACGGCCAGCCCGGTCCTATTTTTTTTACAAGATCCCCCGCGCGCCCCCGGAAGTTTCGTTTTGCCTTGCCGTTCGAAAGATCCGAGGATCCTGTTTAAAATTCAACTAAAATTAACTACGCACAGCATCCGATGAATCTTCGCGTTGAAATTCGAGCTCGCGTCGAAATTCCGCGTTGCTCGAATTTGCTTGATTGAAGGCTTAAAAGAAATTCGATTTGCTCGGGATCCATATCTCGAACTAAACGGTGATAATTCCTCGAGAGATTCGCGTCACGCAAGGATTCGTGCTCGACGAAAGAACGATTCTTCGAGCTCGCATTTATCGCGGATCGCGCGTAAACGATCCTGCGACGAATTCCACGGGTCCTGAGAAGCAGGATTTCCGCGGCGAGAGCGTCGCGGGTTCCCCAAAGACGCGTTACCTGAGAGAATTCGGGATCGAGACAGATAAATCGTTTGCAGCCTGGTCTTAAGTGTCGACGGTGGTATATAGATCGTTAACGTGCCGGTATATCGATGCAAGTGTTAGGTGCGTATGTAATATATGCATAATATATATTTATATATATATATATTTCTATGTATATATATATATGTGTGTGTGTTCACGTTTGTATGTAATAATATACATACTCCCGTCGAATGAGCCTAATTCTAGATAAGTATGCGGTACGTGACCATATACAATAGATCCGATTTGTTAATTCTGTCGCTGAATCAAGACAATAATAACTCCTACCACCAGGGAAAACATCGTTAAACGTTACTCTTCCTTCCTAATATTACCTTTCATCATTCGCTCGTTTCGCATCGTTCTACGCTCGCTCATTCTCGCTCTCCCTTTCGCAGACATTCGCTCGTCGGCTCATTCGCATCGTCATTCTCCCTTCTGTCTCGTCCAGTCCCTCCTTCCTCGTGTCAATCGAACTCCATCCGTCGCTCGAATATAATTATTCGTTAGAAAAATTTGTACTCTTATAGGGGAGGTATCGAGCGGACCGCGGTTCCGCCAACGCTGCGCCGTAAAATAAAGGAGAAACGCCGCCATTTTCCGTCGAGCATAATCCTCTAAAAAATTTCAACAACCACTAATTAGACCTCCTCGATTTAATTCTCGGCCTCAGACGGATTCTCGCGAGCATTTGAATTTCTGTTCTCTGGAAGATAGATGCGACCTCTGAAAGCAACCCTATATGCGATTCTTCTCTCCGCGCATCGCGACGTTGCAACGTCCCTTCAACCCTTGCACCCCCCCGCTCGAGTCGGTAATGATATTTAAATCTGCGTTCTTTTGTACCAGACAAACATCGAAAAGTCAGTTTCCATGCGATTATCGTGTTCACGATGTCGCGACACGATCGTTTTCTAAATATCTCTTTTATTTTGTCTCTTTGTCAACCGTTTTTATGCGCTGCATATAATTCATCTTAATGCGAACATCTCTTAGCTTAAAATCTCCGTTCAACGATCTCGATCCCGATTCGATTCTTCTTCTCGACGCGAACGCGTCCCCTTTAACGAGAACAACAATCGAATCCCGGCCGTGTCTCCATTCTTCTTCTCCGTCTCCCATTATATACTTTTCTTTACATTAACCATCCCGAGCGTCTGTTCCCCGACAAACGAAATTTGATGCTTAAATAATCACGCTCGCTCTACAACAAAATCGTCGCGCGAACGACAGACACCTCGATCGTAACTATTTTACAGACGCGCCCCGACGAAGCCAAACCGACTATCTCGTAACGCAGCTATGCAGAATCGATATGAATGTCTAAAACGGCCCGACGGCGACGATGCAAGGGTTCAAAAGTTCGATCCTCCCGATTTAAAAATCCACGGCGTACCGAAGAACTTCCTTCGTAGCGGTCGAAAGAAAATGGCGGCGACAGGGCAGTTGCTCGCTGGCGGCCGGGTAGGCTAAAGAGCGAGACGCGTTTTCCCGCGATCGTCGGCCACGAAACGAAACAGAAGCGCCCCGTTCGAGAGGGTGCAGAGTTCAATTAGAGCCTCCGCGATCGTTCAGAGACTCTCCTCCCCCCGCCCCTTTTCACCCATTCATTGTCTCTACGATGCAATCCTCGGCTCCGCCTCTCCGCTCATTCAGAACGTTGTTCGTCCCGCGGAGAGAAAAAAAAAGGGAAAATAGCTACGAGGAGAAGAAAGGAAGAAAGAAAGAAAGGCGCGCGGCTCTTCTCTCCCGCTTTCTTCATTTGCACAGCACTCGAGACGTCTGCCAATTAAATTAAATAGTGTCGACGAAGGATCGCCGATCCTGTGATTCGAAATAAAGGACGATCCCTTCCTCCCTTCCCCCCTCTCTCTCGCTTCCTCTCTCTCTCCTCGTCTTCTCTCGAAGTCTATTTGCGATGCAATAATCCGTCAAACAACCCGCGCATCGCGATTGCCTCCCCGCTCCTCCTATCCTCCCCCCGTTTGCTTTCAGTTTCGTGGCTGGATCGCGGGAGAACCGGGTCCCGTCTCTCTCAATCTTTCTCTCTGTCCGCCTCTTTCTCTCTTGATCTCCTGTTCGACGAAAGAAAACGCGGTGGAACGGAAAGGAAAAGCTAGTGGTTCAGCCAACGAGAATTCGGACAAGGGCTTCCGGAACACGGTTCGGTAAACGGAGCTTCTCATTCCAAAAGGTCTCTCACTCTGTTTCTCTCTTTCTCTTCCTCTAGCATACTCTCTCTCTCTCTCTCATTCGTTCTCTCGCTTTTTCTCTCGCTCTTTCTCTCTCTCTCTTTTCATCCTTGATTATTCGCTAGCGATGGGTACAGATCCTCTCATTCGACAGTCGCTCTCCTCATTCACTCGAGATCACTAAACACCGAATGAGGCGCGCTCGGATTTCTCGAGGATCCTCCGACAATTATCTCGCTCCATCGCCGAGCATAAACGCGTACCTCTCTCTCCATCTCTCTCTCTATCTCCTTTTCTCTCCTTTCTACCGTTGTCAGAGTTCCTCCGAGATCCGAACGCGCCCGGGTTCCGACTATAAGCTACAAAAATGGGAGACAGCTTCGATCGCATGCTTAACCGTCTACGAGCAAAGGGTAACCTACGTGGATCATCCCTGTCGTCGATCGGATCCATCGTTCCCGGAACAACGTTCCCGCAACAACGATGATCGTCGACGCAGCTGATCCAGGGGATGGGGGCGCGTTTTATAGTTCGCGTGCGATTATGCAGGTGCGTTCGAAAAATCCCGAAATCACGCCGATCGGACCGTCGCGTCGGCGACGCTTTCTCCTCGAGCTCCCTCCACATAACCTCGCGCTATAGTGATCTATCGATTCGAGGAATATCTGCGTGATATCTTCGAAAATTGCGGAACCAGTTGCGAAAATGATAAGACGCGTTCCTCGATGCTATATACTTTGTAATCCCAAAGAGAAATTTCTCTCAGCTGCTCGAAATTGTTGCATTTTTAATGCGAAATTCGCTGATAATAATTCATTTGTCTATCGACGATACGCTCCTTTTTATAAAGCCAGGGAAATAAAAGCGATGCAAATTTGATAAGAATCTATAATAGCGAAATTAAAGGAGGAACGTAAGTTGATAGATGAAATTGTTATTCGTTAAAAATATTAAAGGGAAAATATCTATAATAGAATCTTTCAGAGAAAGACGTCCGAAATATTGCTAAATCAAGAAACAAACTCCCAATATTCTCGGAGATTTTCAAAACGTATTACCAACATTTTTTACCTGAAATCATACTTATTTCGATTGTGTAAAAAAATATAAAAAACCGATTGCAGCTGTAGGAGCGAATATTTCCAACGGAAATCGTGCAGATTCAAATGACGTGAAATCGTGACGCAACGATCACCGGTAAGAAGAAACGTCGACGATTGAAAAATCAAGTTTCGAAAACTTCGCGGAAGATAATAACGATGGTATTTGCCCGTGGTTGCACAGATTAGCGAGGATTTGTGCGCGAGGCGGCTGAAACGCGAGTGAAAACGCAGTCACCGCGCGACAGCAAGCCTTACCCTGACAGATAAACGCACCGAGCCCGATAGAAAGATTCCGTTAAGCCTTAAAACGTTAATGGTGTATCGCTTTCGAATACCACGTAGCCAATCATGGATTGCCGGGGGCGGCAACAAGCCTCTCGAACGATTTCTCCGGAGCGATTGTTGAATTCGAAAAAGCCTACCTAACCGAGGGACAGTCTTTGATCTATAGCGCATAGATCGGCACCCACCGCGTTGCCCGCGCCGTTAAATGCGCGGCCACGCGAACTATTCGAAAAGAGAGCAGATGATCCAGTCGGAGAATTTGTCATCCCCCGAAGATCGTTCGAGAGACACCCCCTTGAGAAAAGTTTAAACCACTACGAACGAGTTTAGACGTTGATTTCCGATAGGAGCGGCAATTTTCCACGCAACTTTCTCTTCGCTTTCGATTCCCAACAACCTTGACAAACGTCTCTCCAATCTCCGTTCTTCTCTCTCAAATTACCCTCTTTCTCTCTCGCTCTCTCTTTCCCCTTCCCTCTCTCTCTTTCTGTTTGTTCTTCCAAATCCTTCGCGCGTCCCTTTTTCCCAACCTTCCCTCTTCGTTTCCCCGATTCGAAAAACTCTCTGTCAGTTGTCCCGTTTGGTCCGCACTACCAGCATTGTTTAATTCCTTGCTTTCGCAATGCCACAAGAAAATTGCTTGTGTTCGTATTTTTTTCTCTTAACTCCTTATTACGATCATCATCATCCCTTATTACATCCGTTCCCGCATGCCTGCCGTCCGATCGGTTATTCCCCCCTCTCTAATTCTCACCTCCCGTCATCGCCTCATTCTTCTCTCTCCTCCTCCTCGCTCTATCATCCGATTTAAATGTCTACGAATTAATTAGTACATGCTAAAACACACGCGTTAGAAAATGTCTACAGCTAAAAGAACGCGGGCTTCGCGGATCGTTACGATCGTCCGAGATCCGTCCTCTCTCTCTCTCTGTCTTCCGGAGGGATCCCATTCGTTTCTCTTGTTTCAGTTCGTCGCTCTCGAATCGTTCTCGGATCGTTTCGCGCGCGAGAGAAATATCCTTGCGGTGTTTCTTCTTCTTTTTTTTCTCTCTTTTCCTCCGGTGAAGCTTCCCTCGATCGAGAACTTCTTTCACCCTGCGCGGGCTCAATTTGAAAGTTCGATCCTATCGAAAGGGCCGAACGGAGCAGAAACCCGATCAGAGTTTCCTCCGTTCTTTCTCTCTATCAGCGGTCTCTTCTTCCATCATTTTTTTTATCCTTTCCAATACGCTCGTTCGCCTGCTGTTTCTCTCGTTCTTATTGTTTTCTTTTCTTCTTCTTCTTTTTTTATACCCCTCGTTTCGCAAAGAACTAGCAATAAATTACGCGGTTCTACGCTTAAACTAAACTTAAAGTCCTGGCGCGTTCAAGACGTACTACGCTCGACACCCTTGTTTGCCCGATCTCGTTTCGTGATCGACTCGGCGATCGCTTAAAAAAATAGGGTACAAAAATTATACATCTAAATTTCGAAGCCTTACCGAAATACAAAACTACGCGTTTTATAATCTTACACACCCGCGCCGCCAATTCTTCGTTTTCCCTTCCCTCCTCTTTTTTTTTTGTTCGACAAATTTCGCGTTCCCCCGAATTTTCTCCCCACACTCTTTCCCCCCCCACACCCTTAATCGAAAACACAGCCGAATTAAAATGCCCCCGAAACGTTCGCACCCTAATGAAAAGTCTCCGTTTATTCGCGCGGCCCGCGAAAAACCCACGAAATTCAAATTCACATTTTTGCCACATAGCCCCCGCGATCGCGGATATGTCCGCGCGTTTACATTTCCCAAAAGAACAAACGATTACGTATCCTAACACACACATAATTAAACACCGACTGATTACGTATTAATCGATTATCGAAAAAAAAAGGAAATTGCTTATCGTTCTCAGTTACACGAAAGACTTTACCTCTCCTCGTATCTCGCGATCGCTTCCTCCCTTTCTCCCTGCCGCGAGATTCGTTCCCGAGAGAATACAGAAGAAACGCGCCGAAGTGCGAAACGAGCTCGATCCATGGATCCCGCGGATCCACCGTCGAGATAATAGAACGAAGCGCCAACACAGCGGTTGCCTCGTTCGCCTCGAGATTCGCTGGAAAGGACACTGACCACTTTGACAGACCAACTCGTAATCCCTCGCCGTGGATCGTCGATCTCCAGGCGAACGGATCCGCTCTCTCTCTCTCTCTTTCTCTCTCTTTCTTTCTCTTTCTCTCGGATCCCTGAAAAATCCTGGAGGAGCGTCGCTGTTCCTCGTTCGGATCGATCGATCCACACTGGACTACGTTATTGCGATTCTAGAGCTAAGACTAAGGGAAAGTTTGCTACCCGTAGATCGGCCGATCGCGGAACACCGACGCTCGGCTATCGTTCCCCGATGATCGTAGAGATCTATTCCAGTTTCCGGTGAGCCGCCGTAGCGTTCGATCCGTGCGAATAGTCGTGCGATCGTTTGAGAAATCGTCGAGAAACTACGTCTACTAGAAAAGGCTACCACCGAAGGGAACAGGGAGCGATACACAACGATGATGATTAATAGTAGGATATATACACAATTAGTACACCGTAAACGCGATTAAATGTACGAAGGGGAGGGGAGTTGGTTAGGTAGCAACATCCACACGCCATTCAGACACATCGGTTGAAACCCCGTGAGGAAATGATGGCCATTATTATAGCCATTTTCGGGGCTGGGGGAGACTACCAGCTATAACGATCGACGGCGCCGATCGATCGCCGATCGACGCCGCGCCGTCGACTTTCCATCCTTCGCTTCCGTTCAAATCCTTCCTCCTCTTGCTCCTCGCCGTCTCGCAAAACCGGCGATCCAGATCGCTCGGAAATCGGCGAAGAATCTCGAGACGATTCGGGGATCGATCGATCCTCGGACCAACAGGATCCCACCTTCGAAACGAGATCGGTGTTTCTATTTGGGATCGAAAAGGATCGCAGCATCGTCCGAGAAGCTTTGACAGTATTTCACGGTCTTCTTAGTCGAGATCCAGAGGGGTCGGATCGATCCCCGATCGTTCGCAAGAGGGGGAACCAGTACGCCCATCGCAAGTCCTGAGAATCTATACGAATACAACCCACGCGAGAACGAAAAAACCTAACGTAACGAAGCGAGAATTGAACCATGATGCGCGACGAGTAATAGAATCTTCGTGTATCCGTGTGTGTACTACTCGTGTGTATGTATGTACGTGTTCTCTCTCACTTTTTCTCCCTCTCTCTCGCTCTCTTTCTCTCTCTCTCTCTTTCTCTGTATCTTTCGCTCGGTTCCACGTGCACAATTGCTTTCATTCCCGTAACGAGACCCATTCACTCACTCACTCTTTCTTCCTCTTTCTCTCTCTCTCTCTCTCTCTCTCTCTCTCTCTCTTTCTCTTCTTGAAGTTTCGATCGATTGGATCACGGCTCGTAAAAACCAGAGAATGTAAGAGGGCTATCTAGGAAGGAGACCGTAAAAGGTGATCGGGAAAGGGGAGAGGAAATAAATCCGAGGAAACGAAACGAAGCACGCCGAAGAGCCGTGAACCAATTGTCTCAGCAGCTAAGTCGATTAACTTATCGATCCTCCGCCTCTCAGCAGCTTCCTTCTATCAACCTCACTCTCTCTCTTTCTCTCTCTTTCTCTCTTTTACTCTTTCTCTCTGTCTCTTTCTCGTCACCTTCGCCTCGCAATCACCCTTTTCCCTTTCCTTTTAGCTCTCTCGTCTCCTTCGAGATTCTCTTTCAATTAACACAAAAATTCCTCCTTCCCTCTGGAATAATCTCTTACTACGTTCGTGTACGATTGTATCTGTATCTGTATATATGTGTATATATGTGTATATATGTGTATGTGCGTGCGTATGGTATGTATGTATGTATGTACGCATGTATGTGCCTCAGCGAGAATTCTCAGCGATCCATCTGTGTCGATCGCGAGCGACTCGTCGTTACTAATTTTACGCCCACGCACGCTCGAAACACGCGAGAGAGCAGACGGGAACAGGTGTTACAGGTTTAAACAACAACATTAGGTTCCTATGTACATTTGTACCTTAGCCAACGTATCCCCGGATCGACTCGATCGCGGCCCGGGCTCCCGGGATCTGTGCTTATCACCCAGAGGATCCTCGTCTCGTTGCCCCGCGCCAGACCGAATTGGATCGTTTCGTTCGATTCGATGTTTCCTGTTCGGAACGACGAACCAGGCTGACTCGCACCAGTGCTCGGAATACCAGCTGAATCATTGCCACGGCTGGAAAATTCTGTGCAACGCCTGTTTCATTATCTTCCGGCCTCCGTTTCGCGTTCCCGACGCTGCAAACGCTCTTCAAAAGTTAACTCTGTCAGCAATTTCGAGGTCTTAATTTGGACGAACAGTGGGGGACAAGTTTCTACGAACAATTGTGCGAGTCGTTCGGTTCCACCGTTCCGTTGCTATTGGATCGGAGGATAAACTCTCCGTCTATCAGAAAGTATCGCGCACTACAAGACGGCGGAAGATCGTTCGATAGAACGACGGCTTCGTTTCTGCAAGGATTTCGACTCGTTGCGAACGAGAGAACGATAAAACGGTGAGAACGGAAGAAATCTGTAAATATTGTAAATTGCATTTGCAATTTACCGGAACGATTGGAACAGAAGATCGATCTCCGTTTCACACTGGATCGTGAATAGATCGACGGTGATGCGAATTTTCCACGAAGACTGCACCGAGCGAAGAAAAGCAAAACTAAATCGCGAACTTCCGACCTTCTTCTCCGCGCCCTACCGAGAGAAAATTGCCGTCGCTGCGCCGCGATCGGGGCGTGAACGAGACGGGACGGGTGATGATCGTCAGCTTTTTAACTTCAGGATTCGGAGATCCCCGGCGAAGATCCAGCTACCTACCATCCCCGGTGTGGATCGCTGCCGCGAAAAATCTCCGAAGAAAACCGGCTCGAAAATACCGTCAACGCGATTTTGGCACCGATACTATGCTTCCCTGCCCAACAATGCTCCTCTCCTCGACGAGAGCGTCTCCCGGAGCTGCTATATAGCATAATAGTGTAATCGCCGAGAGCCCGGCCTCCATCGATCGCGCACTGTGAAAGACAGCCGGTGTGTGTGTACTATTTGCGTGGTCGGCGATCGCAGAGCGCCCGCGCCTCTCGATCGGTCCCGATAAAAAAATCTTCGAAACACGCCGAAAAGTCCTCTCCGCGGATCTTCTCGCCCATCCTGGAAAAAGCGGAAATCTGCGCGAGTTTTCCATTTTCTTTTTCTGTTTTGCCACTTCAACGGAGGAGAAACCGGTTGGACCGATCGAGACGGCGACGGGCGCGCGACGCAGGGGAACGTAAAACGCCGCCGTCCGCCCAAGAAATAAACAAAATCGCTCTCCAGTAGCGCACTCGATAAAATTTCTTCGTCGCTCGTAACACGTTCAGTATAACAACACCATTGGGCAATGTACACTAATTACACGATTCTTTTATTTCGCTTACACGGGTTCCGCTGGAAATATCGACTTCCCTCTATCTCGCTCTCTCTCTCTCTCTCTCTCTCTCTCTCTCTCTCTCTTTGCCTTTCTCTCTTTTCTTGGAAACAACAGTGGCCTCTGAATCAGCGAATGTTCTCTTTTACTTATTTGCTCTCTCACTCGCTCTCTCTCTCTCTTTCTCTTCCTCTCTTTCCTTGGAAACAACAGTGGCCTCTGAATCAGCGAATGTTCTCTTTTACTTATTTGCTCTCTCACTCGCTCTCTCTCTCTCGCTCTCTCTCTTTCTCTCTCTCCACGTTGCTCATCCTCTGCTCCTCTGCTCGCGAAGGGAGGGAGTGAGATTTATAATCTGTATAAACTTAATCGGGACTCGACGCGCGTGGACCGAAAGGAATGTCCCGGGGACACATGTCACTCAGATCCTCTCCCCCCTCTTGTCCCTCCTGCTCTCTTTCTCTCTTTCAGCATCGATCTTCTCCCGTGTCGCTGGTTTCCAGATCGACCTTCCGGCTCCACGCTCGCGATGACTTCACCATTTTCTTCTCTTTTTTTATTCCTTTCATTCGTGTTAATAGTATGCATATTTCTCTTTCTCTCGCTCTCTCTCTTTCGCTATATATTCTCGCTCCACTCTCTCACTTTGTACGTCTTTCGATAAAGTAGCGTTCGTCGACGGACAGTGCCGCGATTTCGTTTAAATTTACCATTCCCCCCATTTTTCCCGCTTCGTTCTCGATCAACTGGCAACCCACTGTCGCTCGCTGTCGAACGTTCCCAGCTCTCCTGTTGGTCGCTGTCTCGCCTCCCGCTCGTTTTCTCGCGGCCCGAATGCCCGGAAACAAAAGCGGAAATATTCAACATGATCGGCCTAATCGGCCGGGCGAATTCGCTTGAAATCAAACAAACAAACGAGTGGAGGGTTTCTCGTCGTCGGATTCGAACGACGCGTCGCGCGAACGGAAACGGAAAATGACGACAGGCCGGCCGGACGTTTTTTCGACGCAGAACGCCGCGCGATACTTCCGGCACGGGACCGCGTGGCCGCGCCTGATGAATATAACTATCGTGGATCGGTGAATGGAGCTACGCGCACCGGTCAGGAGAAATCAAAGGAGAACGTCGCCTATACGGAAGTAACACTGCAACAGAAGAACGAACTGTAAAACGGTACAGTATATAGGTATATAGGTACGATTACACATTAAAAGAAACTAAGGGGGCGCCCCGGGGCTGCCAACGCGAGGGCGATCGCGATCTTCGTCCTCGATCCCTCGGAAGCAGCTCCGCGCGCCAAACGTTTACGGATCGAGCGTGTATTTAATCGTATCGATCACAAAAAGATATCACCATTCCGCGTGCATCCCCCGTGTTACGTCGGCTCCTCGCGCCAATGCACTTCCGGTTTCCTCGAATTCGACGAAAGAATCTCATCGGAGCGAGAATTTCACGCGTTTCGAGTGTATTGCAGATTTTATGCATTTAGAGTGGAGAAGATATTTTAATATTTATTGGAGGTGTGTCTTTCCAGCAAAATCATTTATTTCGGAAGAATAGTCAATTAATAATTGTTCTGGATTGATATAAATAAACTCGCGAGCATTGCCTGGATGATTCTACACGGTTTTAATAGTGTTATTGGCTAGTATAATTCTAATCGATTTCAAATCTTATTTGACATAGCTACTTTAATAATAAAGGCACCGATTCACGGGAAATAATGATAAAATTAATCCTGGATTCGATTATTTCATATACGATGCACTTTTAGGCATTACGGCTTGCTTCTCGAAGAACGTAATTATAGCTATGTAAATTATGAAAATGTCCAAATCGTCGACCGATTACGATATATCATACGTAAAATTGTGTAAAAAACGATTGCATGGAAATCGAGAAAAATCTTGAAAATCGTTCTGAACGGGTTAACGTATTTCAGTGCAGGTGTTAACGAAAGGTGAAGCAAATCGGAGGAAGTGCAATCTGACTGCGATTTAATAGCACGCAGTGCTCGGTCCAGATGCAAAAAAAAAGAAACGAGCGAGGGTCTGAAAAACGGCGTCCATCGGTTCGAGGAAAGCCGGAAGTTGCGCGAGCGATTCCCGACGAAGGCTCCGAAGGGGGGAATGAAATTAAAAATGGACTAACGAGCGCGCGAGCCGGTGCGTTCCCGGTGAAACGTTAACGAGGAAGAGGCGCCGTAAGAAAAGCCCGAACGCGCTTCCGATCACGGTCCACGCGGCTCAACGATTCATAATTTGCGTCTACTGAAAGAACATCATATATATCCTGTTGTGTGTAACCTGCTGTCACTGCATACGTGTCGTGTACGTGGATGTGCCCGTGTCTTGAGTGTTTTTTGCGCGAGTGAGTGTGTGTGTTCGTGCGAGACAACACGTCGACGTAACGTGGAAAAAAACGATCGCGCGCGGCCGAGGATCGCGCCCCGCGATTCCATCGTTCCTAGAAATCGTTACCGTTTCGCGCCCGGTGTTCCCGGACTGGAGATTGTTCTTTTTTTCTTCTGTTTTCTTTTTTCTTCGTTTTTGAAAAATTTCGACGGATCATTCGGAAAGTGTGCATCTCTTCGCCATGGACTGATCGTGTCGCGATTTATTGTCTCGAGAGCGTCTTCCTTTTGAAAAATCATAGTTTCCGAGTGATCGATCCCTCGAGCGGGAGCACCGCGCGCGATCTACGGATCATCGTCCGGCTCGATCCTGCGGCCGCGCCCGGCCACGGTTCGCACGCGAAACTCGTACGTGTGTTCGTCTAATCGCTAAACAAAACGGATACAAGACGTGTGTGTTATCTTTATTCCTAAGGAGACCCATAATCGTCGGGGGCCCGATTTCTGCGCGGGTCCATCCCCCGACTTATTCTCTCTCTGTACACATGCGTGACTTCTCCGTATGTTACTCGTTCGCTTGCTATAATCCCACTCTCTCTCTCTCTCTCTCTCTCTCTCTCTCTCTCTCTTCGTCTTATCTGCAAACTTCCCTCTCTCTCTCTCTTTTTTTTGTCGTTTAATCGTTTAATTAATGTCGTTTAATGTATACATCTATAGTTGTCTAGCACAGCTGTAAAGAGAACCTTAGACACTAAGAGACAAAAAAGAACCGATATCCTTAATCGTAGACTTCTATAATATTTCATATTTATTCTCATATATATATTTATATTCATATATATATATATATATTTATACTTTGTCTTCTTAGATTATTCAAACCGCGTTGAAAAATTGTCCGCGTGAAAAAGAACGCTTCGAAGAACAACCGATATATAAATTGTAGGATAAAATTTTTTTCCATTTCTCCACCCTTCTATCACTAGAACGAGCCAGGCCCGCTCGCCGCCGTTGATCCTTCCCGCTCGCGAATCGTCCTCCCAACTTCTGTGTTCAGCTTCTGTTCGGCTTCTGCGCCCGGCCTCCTCTCCGGCCGCGGCTTTTCTCATTCTCTAACGCCGTCCGCAGGATTTCCGAAATCCCCGCGCGACGCAGCTTCCGACGAGAATAGTCTCGACGCGACGACCATTAATATTGACTATTAATATTACTTCCCCCGCGATTACCGAGCGGATCGGCGCGGAGCAGGACGGATCCGCGGCGGCGAGCGAGCGGGCGATATAACCGAGTTAGAGCCGAGTCTCTAAAATATTCAACGAAATTCAAGGATATCTCTTTGGGGCGCCGGCCGCTGGCAAAACGCGGCCGGCGGTTCGAAATGAAGGAAGTATTTATCCCTTAACTACGCCTGAAAACCGCCCCCACTCCATAAACTTACTATTTATCGATGATTTTCAAACCTTCTCCACCCCTCCGTCTTCCCACCCATAATGACTATATGCTAAACTCTATTCATAGTTCAACCACTCATAACCTTTCTCTCTCTTTCTCTCGCTCTCTCTCTCTCTCTTTCTCTTTTCGTTCCTTTCTCTCTCTTTCCGCGTCCTCAAAAGACCCCCGTTTTTTTTTGTATCGCCTCTCGCCACCGTTCCTCCCTCCTTTGTCGTACACGCCTCTTGTACGCCCTCCCTCTCTCCATCGCCTACAACCCCTCCATCCCACCCCCCTCAACGTGCCATAGATGTGCTATTCGATTAATTATCATTAGAAGATTCACGGACACGATTACGACGATCGATAAATTCAAAAATGGGGAACACGATCGACGCGGCCGGCCTCTCGCTCCCGCCCCGAGATCCATGGATCGTTCCCGGGGGGCGGTTCCGGTGCGGTTCCGGTGCGGAGAGGGTCGCGGCTCGCGACCACCGCGTTGACCCCACTCGCTATAAAAACACTGACATAGAAAACCCTCCGCCGTTCCGGACAGCGACGCGAGCAGACGGTCGACGTGGAACAGGCTTCGCGCGATCTTTCGTCGCGATGACCCGATCGTCGGATCGATGCTCCCAGGGCTGCGTGGATCGAGGTAGATACTTCATCTGGGAGACGATCGTCGCTCGCGGATCGTTCCTCGTCCACCGTCTGTCCGCGATCGGGGCCGATCGGCGGAGCCGGATCGTTCGAGCGACATCAGCTCGGAATAAAAAAGGTTAGCCTATTCGTTAATTAGCCTTAGCAAACTACAGAACGAGTGCGTCGCGCGTCGGCGTACCGTTTCGGGGAACAAACGAGGCCGCGGTCTCCTCGATCCACGGGGGGAGAGAGCCGGATATATAACGCCGGCGCGTCCTCGATCCTTCTCGATCCTCCTCGATCCTCCCGAGCCGATCAAAAGAGACTCGCGGTACGCAGACGCCTTCGAAACTGACTAATCGTTACAAATCGAACCAGGTGGCTCGTGCGCGAGACCGATCGACGGATCGATCGCCGCTGATCCGGCGCGATCCAGGCCCTCGAGAGGCGGTGCCTCTCTCGATCTCGATCGCGAAACGGGCGCGGCGGCGAGAGAAAAAACACTTCCGAGGGAACAACGAAGGAGAATGGGACTCGTCTCGCGATCGAGGCGGCGGCGATCGATCGATCGGTGGCTCGCGCGCGACCACGGATCGACTTCTCTCGCGAAAGGAACTCTCTTCTTCCTCTCTCTCTTTCTCTCTTTCTTTTTCTCTCTTGTTTTCTCTCTTTCTCCCACACCACCCCGTCTGCGATGGGTTCCTGCGTCATCGAATCCTGCGATAGGAACTGAAAAGGGCCGATGATGAGAATCGATTAAATATCTTTGTCGCTCGCGCGGCACCTATCCTCCTCCCCTCTCTCCCTCACCCCCTTGCTCTCATATTTTTTGCTTTTTCTCTCTGTTTTTCTTTTCACAAACCACGCGGTGAAAAATTGAAAACGGTAGGGAGTACAAAAGTACGCGCGTTTCGCGGGGCCTTCCGGCCGGCCGCGGAGCGCGGGCAATCGAAAAATCAATCGAGAGCCTTTCGTTTCTCGAGCACGAAACCTCTCTGCAGGTCGCTTCTCCCTCTCTCACCCCACCCCTCTTTATCGCCGCTGTCCGTCGGGTGTCTCGGACCAGTCGCGAGTCCGGGTGAAAAGCGAGGAAGCTACGAAAAAGCAAAACCGAACCGAAATATCAATCAACCCTCTCCTTCTTCTCTCTCTCTTTCTCTCTATCTCTCTCTTCGACTCCTTCTCGTTTCTCTATTTGGCACTCTGAGAAAAATGCAACGAGATCCTCTTCCTCCTCCGACTCCCATATTCTCTCGCGAGATCGAATTAGTCCGAATGGATCCGTGCTAGAGGAAAAACGGCGAACGAAATGGAAACGCGGTTTTCTTCGCGCGGCTTCGATCGGATTGGTTAAAAGCTTATATAACGCACTCTTTCGGCTGGTCGCCCGTTTGGCTATCGAAGAAGGGTCCCACACGTGGACGACGCTCTACACTCCCCCCCTGTATCCCCCTTCGATCGCCGTCTCTTACTCCCCTCTCTCGTCTTTCTTCTTCCTTTTTTTTGTTGTATTTTTCCCTTTTTAATGATTCTCCTTGTCGCTCTTCATTCTCTCGCTCATGCTAGCACACTTCCCACACTCGCGCGGACACGCTTTGCCCCTTCTCTCGCACTCTCGATCTAATTACTCACTCGTAGATTAAATTGGGCCGCTCCGGCATTTGCGAACGCCGCGTGTCCCGGCTCCCTCGGCGCGATTCGCGGCGCGTTCTTTCCGTAATTTTCGTAATTATCGTTGGCATCGTCGGGCCCGGCGCGATCGTTTCGGTGAAAACATCGCGTGGAACGCGACTGTCAATTGGCCCGAGTGACAAGTTTAAGGAGGCAGGTGGTGTGTGTCTCTCTTCTCGCTCGACACACTTCTCGATACGTTTTTTCCCGGCACTCGAGCGGCTCTCGTCGCAATTATGACCGTTCCAGCTGCATTAATTGCACGCGATCGGCGGACCGCGAAATTTTGCAAATTGCCGCGCCCGTCGCGGCCGGTAATTAGGGGATGTCTATCGCGAACGACGCGCTCGTTAACGCGGCATAAAATTTCTGGATATCCTCTCTCCCCGCGATCGTCTCGAGCCTAACAGTTTCCGCGGTATCGTGCAAATAACGCGCTTCCGTACTCGCCTAAGCGCGATAGAAATCCCTAGGAAACATTCCGCGAGGAAATCCGCGCTAACTTCGTTTCCGAAACCGTGAGCTCCGTCCTCGATTATCACGGATGACAATGGATTATTTGAATTTAGAGCGGTCTCGATTTCCACGGACATGGAAAGAATCGTTTCGGCTGCTCGATGATATTTCAATTTTTAATTTCTCCCGTATCTTCGCTGTTCCCGGACGTCGTCGAAGAATAATTTTCGCCTCGTTCCCGATAATCCGAGCTGTGTTTCAATTTTTTTGTCGAACTGTTTCGAGCGCTCCTGGATTTAATTATCACGGACATCGAATGTATATCATTTTCATTTGGTTCCCGATGTTCCGAGCTACTTTTAGCTTCCATTTTCACGGACATCGGGAGGGGAGGGGGGAAGAATTTTCACGGACGTTCGAAGAATTATCTCCGCTTCTCGATATTACCGGCCGTTTCTCGGTTACGCAACGTTCGTGGAATTTCGAAATTCGTGTGCCGCGCCGGTTTCGCTGAAATTCGATGGTCGCGTTAAAGCGCTCGTTAAAAAAAGTGCGCCGCGTTTCCGCCGTCCGAAAGTTTCTTCGGCGGGTTGTTCTCGAGGGAGCCGCGGACGCGTTCCGAAGGATCCACGCTAAAACTCTACGGGACATTATATAAATCTGCTAAATACACTTCCCGGCGTATAATGGATTAAGTATACTTTGAAATCGAAGTAACGTAAAGAAGGTACACGATCGACTATACTACCTTGGGAAACGGTGGGCGGTCTGTTTGTGGGACGGCCGCTATTGATGGACAGCAACGACCAGCATCGCCAGAAAAAACGAAGATTTTTCTTCTCTGCTTGCTCTACTCGCTCGCACTTGCTCATCGCTCTCTCTCTCTCTCTCTCTCTCTCTCTCTCTCTCTCTCTCTCTCTCCCCCTCACTTTCTCCCGTTCTATCACCAAAAACACATTTGGTTCTCCCTCCCGCTAAATTACGTATTTACACTGGCTACTACGGACGCCCGCGACTTTCTAGTCCTCCGAGAGATTTCGGTTCGGTGTTGTCACGTGGTCTGAAAAAATGAAAATAGCAGAGGGGGCGAAAGCGGGAAGCTACCTTCTCTCTTGTCCCTGTGTCGGGTCGATCGTGTTATGGTTCACGGTTAATTCGAACAGGGACGGTTCGGGAAGCAGGGTGACGGGAATAACTCGAATGAAAAGAAATAATAAAACCACTCGGATAAGATCGAAAACGAACGAACGTGCTATGTTTCGAACAAAAGAAGATTATACATTGTTTTCGCGTGTGCGCGCGCGTGTGTGTAATGTGTTTGCGTGTACGTGTGCATGTGTATATGCGCGTGTGAAGCATATGTGTGTATGTATCGTACACCTCCGAGGCGGAAAATCGCTGGGCGCCCGGCCGATCAACGTGAAACCCATCGAATGAGTCGTGTAGATCCTTAAACAAAATCAACATGGCCGCCGTAAACGTATAAACTAATAAAATGTAAAAAAAACAACGTTCTCGATTATCTAAGTAACAAACGATAGTTCAATATCTCTTCCCCCTTTTCGTTACAATGTGGCCTTTCTACCATTTTTTGTCCGTTACGTTTTCCACCATTTTTCTGCCATCGTTTCTCTGCTCGTCGTTTTCCGATGCACGCCGGATCGATCCGAACCGGAAATCGATCCTTTCTTTCTCTCTCTCACTCCCTTTCTCTCTCTCTCTTTCTCTCTCTCTCCCAATTCCTCTGAATCTCTCAAATTTTCTCTCTCCATTTTCCGCGTCTCGAACCGTTCGCATCGTGTTTCCTCCGTTTCTTTCGCAGACTGTCAACGTAATTATGCGACTACTATTGTGTCAGGGAACGAACGCGGGGGGACGATTGTTCGCGATCGGTCGCATTCCGTGTCAAGATCGTGCCGGATCGGACGCTAGAACCCTGCGTATCCCGAATTTTAAGCCTAAACCGCCGCCGAATTCGTCTTAATTCTAACCAGATTACAAACAAAAGGGTTACTTCGCTAATTTCCGTGGGCTAAAATTTACAGAAAACACGCCTAAACCTAGGTTCCGCGAAACGGGGATCCCCGCCGCTACGATCGAGCAGGCGCTCTCCCCGTCCCCGCGCCTAAAACGAAAGTAATATCGCGCCGCCTAAATCAAATTTTGGTTAAACTTAAGCGAAACAGCTTTTTTTACACGCAGACAGAGTCCTGGGATTCATTTCCGATCCTTACCGATAATACTGACGATGCAAATCCGCGGGCCCTAGATCGTCCACGATCGTCGCGCGCCTCGGTCCCCCTTGGAATCGATCCACGTCGGCGGACCCATCGTCCCCGCGTTCGCAATTAGATAAATCTCTACTGATCGACGCCGGAAAAGAAAAAAGTCTTAAAACCTATCGCAGACGCGAGGTTGCCCGGATGATCGCCACGGTTCCCTCTCGATCCTCTCTATGACGGATCGGCGTTGCCCGATCTACGAAAATTAATGAGTTCACTTGGCTCGAAACGAAATAAAATCTGCCTCGTCGAAGGTGGTTTTTTTCCTTTTTTTAGTAAAGAAACACAAAATTTCGGCTTCGATAGGAATGTTCCATGTTCAGCGTCTCCTCGGTTAATAGATCGCCGATCTTCGCCGATTGCTAGCTGGCTAACCAGACCAAAGAGAGCTACGGGTGGTTCCTCCATTGTTCTTCGAATCCTCTGACAGCGAAAATATCGACTCGAACCGTCGACTGAAACATTTCTACGAAGGGGATTGCAACGAGAATCGAAAGTCTGCTTTCGGATTTAATTAATTTAATCGAGCAGTACGAGCAGGACTAAAAGAAAATTCTTGAATACTATCCGCAACAACTAGACCGCTGATCTCTGCGTGAAATAAAAATCACTGTAAAAGGTCTTCAACTCTCTCTCCGCGAATCTAGTGCTCGAAGTTGCAACCATCGATTTACGAAACTCGCGGCCTAGGCGATTAGCGCTACAAACACGTTTAGCTACCGTGTTAGAAAACTGAGCTTTGGTCTGATTCCCAGCGCAATTGGAGAGTGCCTGGAGGTGAAAGGTCGGCGATCTAGGTCGATCGTGGAGAGAGGGAAACGTGCGCGAACGGGGGGGCACCGGCGGTCCGCGAGACTCGTTTCCTTCCTGTTCTCCTCGATGACGATGATGATGATGACGACGTTCTCTCCTCGGATCTGGTGCCCCCGAAGAGAGGATTTAAGAAAAAAAAAAGAAAAACGGTCCGACGAAAACTGCGTGTGTTTTTCTGCGGGATCTAGAGCAAGGTCGCCCGGAGCAGGGAGAACAGCGGGTCGAAGAAGAGGGGACACGGGTCGGTTGCGGCGCTTAGGCGCCGGTTAGCTAAGTTCCCTAATGGTTACGGCCACTGGCTGTACAGCTGGAACTGCTCGCGGGTGAAGCAGACCGAGAGCGGCTTCACGAAATGGGCGTCCACGGCTCTGCAATGGGGACAGGCGAAAACGCGGCTGTAGTCCGAGTAGAAGTTCAGCCGCTGGTGAGGATAGATCAGAGGCTTCTGGCAGCTGTTGCACTGGAACAGAACGGGACAACTGCGTTTAACTCGGTGTCGGGCCAAGGTCCGTCTCCTTTCATCCGGACCCAATGATTCTACGGCTAGAGGACGTCGTTGGGTGCTCAGTCTCCTCGGGAGAAAGATCAAAATGATACGGAGAAAGTTCAGATGATTGAAAAGTAGATCCTCTTTCCTGCAGACTCGCTGATCCCTCGAAGAACACCGTCGGTGTTGAAAACTTAGAAAATGGACAAAATGGTAAAAAGAGAGCTCGTCGAGTCTGCAGTTCGAATTTGACTTTCTGAATTCAATCTTGAACCCTCGACTGGCTCCAGCGACATCCGACTACCGAGCAATTTCTATGTTTAAATTTATTTCTTGGGTTCTGCGTGCTTGAAAAAAATCTCAAAAAATTCTTAAACGCTCCTTCATGCTTCTACAATATTGTCCGATCATTTTTGTTGCCATGAGTTACCACAATTTCACTGGGCGAAGCAATATGTACGGGAAGGGAGCAGACATAATAATATTAGTTCTGTTTCAAATCCTGATCACTGACTATATATGATGATCGCTATCAGTTCTCGGGTCGTATTTGATATACGGTGAAAATGTTATCACAACGGCACCGGCTAAACGCTGTCGCGGAAAGCGGTGACGGAGCACGGATAGTCAGCGTCTAATGCGGACGGGTATCGTAATAACGCGTGTTAGGCGCGCGAGCGGAAAGATTGCCGGCTAAATAGGAAACCCGAGACACACTCACCTTGAGTCGCTCGGTGCAACAGGGCATGGCAGCGAAGATATCGTAGCTGTACATCGTTCCAAGGACTAAGCTAGAGCCGTCCCACGGCTGGGTACAACAACGGCAACGCACCGGCTGGCCGCCGCTACCTTCCAGGCAGCTCATGCACACTGCTGACAGAAACTGCGTGCGACCTTCGACCTTCACCTGGAACAATCATCGGAGCGAGACCGATTTAGATTTTCGATCTTATTCTGACTTTCATTCTTCGCGATTTTTCGAGAGGAAATATGATTAATATACCGGTGGATAAGTTGAACCATTAAAGGGTGCAACACGTGGTATCAGCAATTAGGGGATGCCTGATACAATTTTTGTCGGACTCTAAAATCTGTCTAGCGAAACGTGAACGTGCACAAAAGTCCTGAGAATTAACGAGAACAGAGTGAGACAATTTAAATGACGAATTAGATACGAAGAGGAAAGCTCACAGAATACAACCATTTGTCCGAAAAACGTCTCGCAATTTGGAAGCAGGGGATTCCTGAGGTCATTTGAAATAACTTTTTCCTTTATAAAAATTTTCTCCGAGGCATCGTTAACGAGTTATTAATGTAAAACGCTCGCCAATAAGAGGCGAGCTCGGCTGGCGCAAGGTGGTGCGAGGCGGCGCGAACCAACGAGCGGACGAAGCTCAGTCCCGCCCATTGGCTCAGTCGTCAGGCGTCAGCTAATCTTGTCTCTCATTGGTCGCTGTTTTTTGTCGATAACTCGTTAACGGCGCCTCGGAGAGAATTTTTGTAAAGGAGAAGTTACTTCAAATGACCTGAGGAACTCCCCATTTCCACATTGAGAGACATTTTTTGCACACTCTGTATAGCGAAGTTACAGGAATCATCGTTTGTCATCGAGTGTCGGCGTTGCGACACTTCGACAGTTAAACATTCCCAGACCTCGCAAAATTTTTAATGTACATTTCTGACAAACTTCCGAAAGATTAATGGCAATCAGACCAGGGCACATTTGTAACGAACACCGCTTTTGCTTCACATAAATTATTTCCGAGCTTTCCTTATTATTTGAAAATAATAATTAATAATAATAATTAATATTTATATAAGAATAATTTGAACTGAAGTTTAGTCACTTTGAAATGAAGAAACAAAATATTTTATTATTCGAAATTCCGCTTTAAACAACGCTACTGGAAACAACGATCACAGATGAAAGATTTCAAAGAGTTGTCTTTTTATTTCTGTTTCGAATAAAATTTTCCGGGGTCCGACGTCGATTCGTAAGGCGTGCGCGAATCACAGAAGCGAAACGGTCCTGCAGAAGCGAAGGATACTCGGATTCGTGGGACTTACCTCGGCGCAAGCAGGCGAGTGCTGTCTCGGGGACAGGAAGAACGTGCCGTCGACGAGCGGATACCTGTCAAAAACGAGCATAGGCGCGCGGCACAGCACGCAGGACACTCTGGACCACTGTAGCGCGGCCAGCGTGGACAGGATGAAGCATCTGGTGTCATCGTTGCCGTGGTTGCCCTCGTCTTCCATCTGCAAGCATAAAGGAAGGGTATAAATGAGTCTCCGGGGCCGCTCTGACAAAACAATTTCGACGACGAACGAGCGGCAGCGAGCGCTCAAACGACGCGTCCGCGAAAGAACCGCGGCACGGAGTTCGTTACGGCCTAAATGGGGCTCGGGTAATTAAGCGACGTGCTTTTCGGCGGCTCCGCACGGAGAGCATAGACCTTGGCCACGGTGCAATCTTGCTTCCGGTTCCCCGGTAGGTCGGCGAACCATCGTTTAAATGCGAAATTGCCCATCCGGAGTTCCCGGGGAACGGTCCCGGCGATATAAAGTCGCGATATCAGTGGCAAAAGGGGAAAATGTCCCTGTAGGACGTAAAACGAAGTCGGGGCGGACAAAGTGTCGTGGAAGTTACGAGCGGGTCGCCGAACAGGTCGCCGGGAATCAAAAATACGGGCGACGGTTCCGGGAGAGGTGTCGAAACGACGCGTCCACGAGGGGTGGGGTTCCGAGCTAGGATGTCGAAAGGAAGGTGTCATTGTTAGGATTTTTCTATAATAATGGTAAATTCGAAGACTGAATCTGAGATCTACGGTATTTCAATTCATTTCCCCGGATGTAAATCCGACACCAGTAGATCAAATATATTCTTAAACTGCACGATGTTTCCGAGGCACGAATAATTTTAATAACGAACGTATAAGTAATTGATCATTTCCTGACATTTTAATGTCCAATGAAAATCATTAAAAACATCAAAATTTTATTATTAATTTAAATAAAATAATATCAATATAATATATATTTATATAATGATATAAAATATAATATATAATATATATTTATATAATGATATAAAATATAATATATAATATATATTTATATAATGATATAAAATATAATATATAATATATATTTATATAATAATATACAATATAATATATAATATATAATATATAATAATATACAATATAATATATAATATATATTTATATAATAATATACAATATAATATGTAATATATATTTATATAATAATATAATATATAATATGTATAAAATAAAATAATAATAATACATATAAAAATATATGTAATAACAACATTAATTTAAATAAATAAAATAACTCCACATTCCCTAGAAACAAATATTGCCACGCAAATGTCTGCAACGTCGCCAATTTTTGGAATTTTGAAATTTCCACTCGACCGCATAATCTCGAGACGTCGTCGAACGCGAAAAACCATGAAAGAATGTTCCAGACCGAAACCTTCCCTTAATGACAAAGGGAGCGACGAAAAGATGGGAGGGTGGCGTAGGATAATACGAAGACAGGAAATGAGGAAAAAAGAAGTAGTGGAAGAAGAAGAAGAAGTCGTGTAGCACCGGTGGCTGCTGAATAACGAAGCGAAGGTTAAGGTCGAGGTAAAAGGTGGAAGGATTTTCTGGCGGGGAGGGAGGCGCTCCAGACGAGGACGTTTATAACCACGGTAAATATCCTGGTGAAACTCTCCCCTGCCCAGCCGGGCCCGCCGCCGCCGCCGCCGATCATCGATCATAAAGAAAGAGGAAGAACCGAGGAAAAAAGGGAGAGGACGACGGTGTTGTTGAACCTGCGTGCCCCGCGTTTTCGCGACGGACCAACCGGTTATCAATTTGCCGGCTTGTCAACTATGCGCGCGACTCTTCGCGGTTACTTGTTAGAGCCTTTCCACCGGCAATGGTAACGTTAGGCAGCTGGCCCGCGGTCGATTCGCGAGGCTGTCTTCGCGTTAAAGCGGTACTATTCTTCGACCGGCTGTCTTCCGAGGCTGACTTTGTGGATTTATTTAACGGGGGCCGTAAAGTCGGCTTGTACACTCGGCCCGCTTAGTGGATACATTGCGGCATGTTCGAGGCAGTATCCGGAATTTTTGCAGGCGTTTCCAGCGAACGACCGCGGAGTTATAGCGGCGGGCTGGCTCGCGGCGGCAGTCGCGAACCGCGCGTTTCCTATTAGCGCGAATTGTTTAAGAAGCGGTAAAATGTGTTTTATTATACGAGTCGGCGCGCGCGAAAGAGAATTCATCCCGCGAGGAAGCTCGGCGACTCCGGCAACGACCGGGAAGCGTCCTCGCGTTTAAAATCGATCAGGGTGCCCCGGTGAAAGTATTTTCGATCGCGGAGGACTGCGAGGCCAAGGGCAAGAGCCCCGGGGTCTGCACAGGGCTCTTGGTGGATGCGCGAGCTTTCCGGCTCGAGCGAGCAGGTTCGAGGAACGTGGCACGTTGCCAGCCTGCCAAGGGGTCTCTCTCCGAGTGGATGGAGTGCTTCGCCGAGGGACGTATAGCCGGTGGAGAAGAGAGAGCCGGGGAGATCGAGAAAAAGAGGAGCCGCTGGAGAGTCTGGGAATCTCTGCTCCCAGGGACTGATCACCGCGGAGGAGGATGCGTCCATCAGCACTGAGCGAACGGACCACCACGCATTTATCCACGAGAGAATGGAGGCTTCGCGGAGGTTCTTCGAATAAATAAATTGGACTGTCTCTGTTTTCCAGCGCGATCGGCGAACTGATCGGCGGAGGCACGCTTTACGAATTTGGTTCGTCTGCGAAGACAAAATCTAATCAATACAGTGGGCTATAACGAAATAATTCGTTCTATCATTCGTTGAAGTGGTACATGTCCATTTGTTTAGTTCTGAATAAAAAGGTTACACTGAAGTAATCACAAATTATGTGATATCTCGTTGATATAAAAAAGATGGATTTATACTTTCGAAATAAACGATCCGTATATAAATGCATAAAATCCGCAGTCTGGTGATAATCACGCTGTATACAGGGTGTCTCAAAAATGTCTCGCAATCCGAAAGTGGCGGTTTCCTCAGATCATTTGAAGCAACTTTTTCCTTTACAAAAATTTTCTCCGAGGCACCGTTAACGAGTTATTAACGAAAAACTATGACCAATGAGAGGCGAGCTTGGCTGGCGCGAGGCGACCGAGTCAATGAGCGGAACTGGGCTTCGTGCGCTGGTTGGCTGGGCCGCCTCGCGTCAGCCGTACTCGATTCTATTGGTCACTGTTTTTCGTTAATAACTCGTTAACGGTGCAGCGGAGAAAATTTTTGTAAAGGAAGTAGCTGCTTCAAATGATCTGAGGAACCCGCCATTTTCGGATTGCGAGACATTTTTAGGACACTCTGTATTTGGGTTTTATGCATTTATAACAAGAATGGACAAACGAGAACACGAAGTAGTGAAGAAGTGTTAATAAATGTTGATGTGTGAATTAATAAAAAATAATGAGGAAGAGGAAGGAGAGGATTCTATTTTCGATTCTACTTTCATTCGTTGCAAGATTCTCCTATTGTATTTTCGAAACCAGTGCAAAATTTTAGCAGCAGCATTAGTATTCTCTGCTCTAGTAGCCTGCGAAAGGAAAGCGAAAGCGAGGTTCAGCAACATAGTGTTTTCCCTCGTGAGACACGATATTGCCGCGGGACCTTGCACCTTGCTTCAGGATCCGTTCCCAGAGTTCGACGGCTGGACCACAGTTTCCAGGAACACGCAATTAAGCGGCCGGGTTCCCGCAGGAGCTTTTAATCGAGCAGTTTCTTGGGGAAGCTGTTTCCACGCCGAGGATTCCGGTTCCTGGCCGAAATTGAGGGATCCGAGCGGAACGCGGCCGAGAGCGGACGCTTAATCACGATCCCCCGTTTCTCTTACGCGGTAAAAAAAAAACAAAGACGCGGGTCTGTCTGGCGTCGACGGAGGACTTCACTCGATCATACAACCTTTGTCAATCGCGGCGATATTGGACTGTACAGGGGAGAGAATCTACTTAATCGGAGGAGAGCGACGGTTTTTTTTCTTCGTATCCTCGGCGAGGACGGAAGGGGTCGCCGACCCTGCGGATAATTTCGTCGACGGTTAAAAGGCCAAGGGTGGAGAAGAACGGCGTGGGGAGCATAAATCGCGCCGTTTCACTTCCCGGTAACGGAGGATTACGGGCCGCCGGATTATCGGAATTCAATAGCAACGGCGCAAATAAACAGCGACCGGCCCGCGGCGACACGGTATGATAAACTCGGGTAACGAGTGGGAAGAACCGCGGGCACACGATGATGAGGGAGACGGAGGAAAGAGTCGGGAAATCCTCGTGTCGACGATGAACGCCTCTTCGTGTACGGCGAACGTTCGCCGAGATGTTCCGGCTTCGGTGTATTCGCATGGTTAATTGATAATGACGCGACGTTATTCTGCGATTCTCGTCCGCGAATTTCTTGCGGACGAAGAATGTGGTTGGACGTTCTCGATTGTTTATTTGCAACACGCGAAACATACGCAGCATTTTGACTGTTTTTTAATATTAAATGTACAGAGTGTCTAGAAGAGAGCTCAATTTTTTATAATTTTTGTAATAGTATGTGGCTGAGTAAGGAAATACAGTAATTTCTCCCTAATTCGCGCTGAGATTGCGCACAGAAGTGGACAATTTGGGCAGAGGAGAAACGATTATTGGAGCCGTGTGGCTTGTTTTTTGTAGTTAACGATTGTCAACAACTATAAAAACGAGCAGCAAGACTCGAATAACCGCGTCCATTTTTGTGCGCAATCTGAGTGCGAATTAGGGAAAAATTATCGTATATTCAACAATTTCCAATAGAAGCAGCTTTGTTACTTCAATAATTATAAAACAAGAAAATTGAAAGATAAAGGAAGATAAAGCAATATCATTTGAGAATAAAATCGACCAAAGCGTAGAAAAAAGTCGACCACCGACAGAAGATTTCAGGGAACACGCATCGTCCGATCGTTCTAACAAGATAAGACAAAATCCTGCAGTATTTCGACCATCGACGTTGTCCAGGAGTTTCGACCATAACGGATTGCTTCTGTACGAGTTGCGACACACAGGGCTCGGACGTCTAAGGGCATTATGACAGCTGGATTAAATGGAGGAGAGTCCGCCACGATCTCCTCGGAGAATTCCATCTCCTCCTGTTCAATGTACTTTCTTTTCCGTTGGAACACGCGAAACAGCG